CACACTATTCCTGATACAAGCCAGGATGCCATTGGCCTTCTTGGCCACCTGGGCACACTGCTGGCTCGTATTCAGCCGCCTGTCGACCAGCACCCCCAGGTCCTTTTCTGCCGGGCAGCTTCTCAGCCCCTCTTCCCCATGCCTGTAGCATTGCGTGGGGTTGTTGTGACCCCAGGGCAGGACTCGGCCCTTGGCCTTGTTGAACCTCACACCATTGGCCTGGGCCCATGTATCCAGCCTGGCCAGGTCCCTCTGCAGAGCCCTCCTCCCCTCCAGCAGATCTGTCATCTGCAAACTTACTGAGGGTGCACTCGATCCCCTCATCCATATCATTGATGAAGATACTAAACAAAACCGGCCCTAGAACTGAGCCCCGGGGAACACCGTTTGTGACCGGCCACCAACTGGATTTAACTCCGTTGACCACAACTCTCTGGGGTCGGCCATCCAGCCAGTAAGCCAGAATGAAGCAACCCAACTGGCTCCAGCAAATCAAGCAGGATTTTGTCAGAGGTACCAGCCAGTCTAAGCGGAAGGAACTGCTCTCCTGCCAACCCTCCCGTATATCCCCGCATCACTACAGCTACGTGAGCACTTCTGCTTGTATCAGAAGAGATTTAGAAAAATCAAATGGATTCTTCTGGTCTCAGTTATGAAGGTGCTGCCTCTTATACCCTTCACCTGCAGACGTATTTAAGCATAGAACACGGGTTGGGGCACTCAGGACCCAGCAGAACAAGCCCTTCTGCTTGGGGACCAGTGAGGAACAGACTCCTTGCTGATGGCTGCTTCTGCCCCATGCCGTCAGTAGTCAGCCAGCATTGAGGTTACGAAAGATCTGAGAATGGAGCTGAGAGATGGACGTGTCCTGTTTATCTCTGCAAGATGCATGCCTCCTGTTTCCCTTAGCACAGGCTCAAACAAGAGAAGACGGGATTTGCGCACAGCTCCATACCTCTTTCAACCAAAATCAAGTAAAATAGCTCTCTTCCTTGTCACGCTCGGAGATTTAAGTCTGGGCTGTGCTACCAGTGCTTCTGCAACTGTCTGCTGCTTCCTTGGGGTCTTCTCTACCAAAAAGTCCCAGCCCTGGCGCTCAGACCCAGGGAGCTCCATCGCTCATTTTTGGAGGCATCCCTGTTTTGTAAAGGCTCTCACTCACTCCTTGCAACTGGTTTAAACAAAGGCACCACTTACATCCCCTCAAACCCTACCATTACAAATGTCTCCTTGTTCGCTTATTGACATAAACATACGCACGGCTGACAGCTCTAATACTACTCTACAAGGAATGAAAAATTTAGCTTATAGGAGGAGAGAAAAAGAACGGAATTATTTTTCTATCAATGAAGCGAGGCTTTGATTCAACTTGCTGCTGGGTATCCTCAGAACTTTGTCCAAAAGAGCCTTGAACTGACTGGAGCCCCTGGCACTCCTGCAGCATAAATATTAAATAACTACAATGCTTCCCATCGACTCAGTGCTTGCAGCTCGAAGGACAGTCCCCACAAAAATTAAAGAGCTATGACATGGTGAGTTATTGGGCTGCAGCTGCAAATAATTCCCTAACGCACAGTCTGCTCGGAGTCAACAGAACAGAGGGAAGAACAGGCAGAGAAAACTGTTTCGAATACCAACAAGCCATAACCACCATGGTAATAAGTGAGGTCTGAAAGCATAAAGTCACTTGGATTCCTCTCAAAACCTGGAGCAAACACATTTACCAGATCAAATGTACTTCATGTTTCCATCCAGCTGCTTGCTGGATGAAGATGAAGCCTTATTATATGACAACGCACTTGCTTGAGGAAGCAACGTGGGGCCATCAGCCTGCAACCCACTGTCAGCGTGGGAGGTATCAGAGCCTCTGGGTCCCTTGGGGATGCTGCACGGACTGAGCCATCCACAGAGTGATCTTGGATTTGCAGGAATAAAAGCATTCGGGGTGCTCTGAACAACATAAGCTCTGCTACGACGCCTGGAGCCTGCCTAAGCTGCCACTGAGAGAAAAATCAAAAAAAATCACTCGGTTGATAGATTTTCCTGGCTTGGCTAATTAGAGTCTAATAACTCACCAGTGCTCATCACCCAGCTGCTTGCTGTTTAACAGACTGAATTCCATGGCCTCACCCTGGGCAGACCACCCCTGGGGATGGGGGGGATGCACGAGGCAGCTGCTTGCATTTGCCTCAAGCCCAGCGGCTGTAGCCGAGCACACATCTTGGCTCGCTGGTGTTCGGTGCTTCTCCCAAAAGGGTGCTGCGTGGGATGAGCTGCCCAGCAATACCGTTTGATCCTCCAGCTGCTGTGATCCTCTGCTCAGGGAGCTGCAGAGACCCCTCGGTTCAGTTCCTGCATGGTCAACAGTGCCTCACCAGCACCACCAGCTACGCCAACACTCACAGGAGCTATGCCAAGAGCAATGGTGATGCTTAAGGTCTTCATCTTCAAGAGGAGCACAAAGCAGGGGAGGATGGCACATCCTGAGCCTTAAAACCAAAACACAGGGGTGCAGTAAAAGGGAGGGGAGTTCAGCAACAAGCGGGAGTGAAAGCCCAGAACAGCCACCCAGAGCATGCCAAGGGAAAGTCTCCATTTGCTCTGTAAAGCCCCATGTGCCAGATAGCAAAGTGGGGACAAAATATTTGAATAAGCCAGGACAGGAACAGGGAGGCTGAGGGTGAAAACTGATGCCAGGGTTTGACTGTAGCTCTGCAATCAGGCCGACGAGGGCTGCACACAGCCAGATTACCATGGGCAGGCAGCTTAGAGTTTGGGCTGGCTGTCAGACAGACGATGCCTACCACAAACTGAGGATCCGATTTGCTGGGACTGTGCTATTTCCTGCAAAACTTCGGGATCTACATGAAAAAGCAGAGGGCGATGTTTACACCTTGTCATTATTCAACGCAACACTGGCTGCTTTAAAGCAGCATTCACACAAACACAAATCAGGACTCACAGAGCCCAACCATTCCAGGGAAACTCGGAGAGCATCCCTCTTTCCACCGAGGCCAGAAAACAAACAACTTTGAGCCTAATGCAGCAATATCATCAGTCTTTCATTCCAACCATCTCGCAAAGCACTGGTTTGCTGCTCAATTCTGCTGGATCGTAGGCTGATGGTACTCGCCGGTCTATTTTAGACGCCCCGATCAGATATATTGGCCCTCTGGATGCTTCGGGGCAGTTTAGTTATTACTCAGAGACTGTCAGTTGCAATATATCTTCCGTTAACGGACGCGAGTGTAATACAATTCATAAGCAAAAACGAAGCTAAGCAGGAAAGGAAGAAAGTTAAAAAGACCCATTGGCCTGATGAATATGTATCTACTAATGACAGCGCGCTTTTCTAGCTGAGTGAGTTTAGCTGACTTTGGGATTCGATGAACTCCAAGGCCAGCACATCTGCGACAGAAATATAACCGACACTGTGATCTTACCCTGCTGTTTTAGAGCACGGTAACAGCAATATATCACAGAGGCAGAGATAGGGACAGACCTGAGAGAGCAGGGAACCTGGGAAGGAGGTGCAGAAACAGAAAGCTGGGACAAGAGTGGGAGATGGTTCAGGAACAGCACACACTGTGATGCTCACGGCAGCTCGGTCTTGCTACAAGCTGCACCCGCATTGACTGTTGTGATCCCGTCCCTGCCAGTTCAGCTTTGGGTGAACAAGACTAGGATGGCAAACTTACCTGTTCCCGTGCTAAGCTCTGGCAGCCAGACAGACGGATGCTCTGCATGCCTGAGCCCCTAACGTGACTTGCACAGCAACGATCCTGACTGCAGCAGTGAATACACACAGGCAGACATTGTGACTACAGCAGGAAGGAGGTAATAGAGCTCAATAAAAAAAAAAATAAATATATATATATTTCAGTAAATTCCACTTGCTCATTTTGCAGCACGCAGAGGCACAGCGAGGCTTCCAGCCACTGCAGAGTCCATCCGGGCTACTGCGGTACTTGCAAGGCTCCTCTCGGGGCAGCAAAAGCCTTCCAGGAGCTCCGCTGGCAGGGCAGCAGCATCAGCCCCAGCTTCTCCAAGGAGGTCCCAACGTACAAAGGAATAAGGGCTGAATCTTCAAGGCCTG